TAAAGGCTCCCCATTTACATTTACCCCTGGCACCCCAAATTTAAATACTCCCTCCATAACATTTTTACCCACTTTAGCATTGAAATCCCCAACCACCATTACTCTGACACTTTATTCAAAACTCCCCACGCATTCACTCAACATTTCCCAAAATCTCTCTCTCTCCTCTACACTTCTCTCTTCTCCAGGTGCATACACGCTTATTATAGCCCACTTTTCACATCCAATCTTTATTTTACTCCACATAATCCTTGAATTAATACATTTATATTCCCTCTTTTCCTGCCATAGCTTATCCTTCAACATTATTGCTACTACTCCTTTAGCTCTAACTCTATTTGAAACCCCTGACCTAATCCCATTTATTCCTCTCCATTGAAACTCTCCCACCCCCTTCAGCTTTGTTTCACTTAAAGCCAGGACATCCAGCTTCTTCTCATTCATAACATCCACAATCATCTCTTTCTTATCATTTGCACAACATCCACGCACATTCATACTTCCCACTTTGACAATTTTCTTCTTATTCTTTTTAGTAATCTTTACAGGAAAAGGGGTTACTAGCCCATTGTTCCCGGCATTTTAGTTGACTTTTACAACACGCATGGCTTACGGAGGAAAGATTCTTATTCCACTTCCCCATGGATATAAAAGGAAAAGTAATAAGACCAAGAACTATTAAGATAAAATCAAAGAAAACTCAGATGAGTGTGTATAAATAAATGTGTACATGTATGTGTAGTGTGACCTAAGTGTAAGTAGAAGTAGCAAGACATACCTGTAATCTTGCATATTTATGAGAGAGACAAAAGACACCAGCAATCCTACCATCATGTAAAACAATTACAGGCTTTCGTTTTACACTCACTTGGCAGGACGTTAGTACCTCCATGGGTGGTTGCTGTCTACCAACCTACTACCTATAATTTTATTTTCATTAATTCTTATGGGAAATATTAATTTGGTTATCGGCCATTTCGGTTATCAGCCAACCTTCAGGAACGGATTGCGGCAAATAACTGGGGGTCCACTGAACATTAGCCCTTTGAGGGTTTCGGACGTACTAGTACGGCTTACGACCCAGGGTTTTTGACGTACTAGTACGCCTAAATTCTAGCGCCCTCAAATCTAGTGGGAGAAAGCTGGTAGGCCTCCATATGAAAGAATGGGTCTATGTGGTCAGTGTGCACAGTAAAAAAAAAATCCTGCAGCGCACAGTGCATAATGAGAAAAAAAAAAAACGACCGTTTTTTTGGAATAAAACAGCGACTTTGCACTGTATTTTCGTATGATATTTATTGTTGTATTCTAGTTTTCTTGGTCTCACTTTATAGAATGGAAGGCATATCATAGAAATTGAGATGATTTTGACTGGTTTTACAATGAAAAGTACCTTGAAATTGAGCTCAAATTTGCAGAAATGTTCGATTTTTACCAAAGTTCAAAAGTAAATAAATCATGCCAAGCGTCCAATTCACGTTAACTGATGAGTCTAATATTCTTTTGCAAGTGCACCAATATGATTCATACCATTTTTTACACTAATGCAGTAGTCTGCATAACAGTAAATCTTCTATTTTTTGAGAATAAAAATTCAAAGTGGAAAGCAAAAGAATGTAAGAGGGGCCTCGAGACATGACTAATGAACAGAGGAAATGTCATTTTAGTGCCAGGAATGTATTTCTTGTTTGTTCTGGACCCTATTCGGAAATTGGCATCTTTTGAAATTTGTGTGAAATTGGCAAAATTGCTAAATTCTGACCACTGATCTGGATAGTTGAAATTGGTAAATGGGTGGTTTCTTGCACTCATTCAATAGAAAATATGGAGTTCTAGCGAAATATTCATGTTTTTTGTCGACTAGTACAGTGGAACTGGCTGAAAATGGGGCTCAAAGTGGGCAAAATCGCCGATCCGTAAACATCGCCGAGACCGCTAACTTCGCGAGAGCATAATTCCGTAAGTTTTCCATCAAATTTCATATTTTTGGTGTCATTATGATCGGGAAAAGATTCTCTATCTTTTCATAAGAATTTTTTTTTTTTTTTTAAATTTGGCCGACCCTGAGAACGAGTCTCGGAGAGGGCCTGTCGACCCTCAAAGGGTTAAACAACTATTGTAACATTACACATCCCTGTCTAAGACCTACTTTTACCGGGAAGTAGTCTCCCTCTCTTCTACACACCCTAACCTGAGCCTCACTATCCTCATAAAAACTCTTCACAGCATTTAGTAACTTTCTACCTACTCCACATATTTGCAACATCTGCCACATTGCTCTGCTATCCACAATCCTATGCCTTTTCTAAATCCATAAATGTAATGAAAACTTCCCTAACTTTATTTAAATAGTGTTCACATACATGCTTCAATGTAAACACTTGATCTACACATCCTCTACCCACTCTAAAGCCTCCTTGCTCATCTGCAATTCTACTTACTCTCTGTCTTGCCTCTAATTCTTTCAATAACAACACTGCCTTACACTTTTCCTGGTATGCTCGGTAAACTTATTCCCCTATAATTTTTACAATCTCTTTTGTCCCCCTTCCCTTTACATAAAGGAACTAAACATTCTCTCTGCCAGTCCCTAGGTACCTTCCCCTCTTTCAAACATTTATTAAACAAAAACACCAACCACTCCAACACATTACCTTCCCCTGCTTGTAACATTCCTGTCATGATCCCGTCAACTCCTGCTGCTTTATTCCCCCTTATTCTACGTAACCTTCCCCACACTCTCATCCTGCTCTCCTTCACTCCTAGATGATGATATACCTCCCTGACTAGTGCATGAAATTACCGCCTCCCTTTCATCATCAGACATTTAAAAGTTTCTCAAAATATTCCCACCATCTACCCAATATCTCCAGCTCCCCATCTACTAACTCCCCTACTCTGTTTTTAACTGACATATCCATTCGTTCCCTAGGTTTTCTTAACTTGTTTATCTCACTCCAAATTTTTTTTATTTTCAGCAAAATTTCTTGAGTGCCTCTCCCACTCTAATCTGTTCTCCTTTTACACTCTCTCACCACTCTTTTCACCTTTCTTTAACTCTCCATATACTCTGCTCTTCTTATAATACATCTCATAAGCTACCTTTTTCTCTAATCACACACTTTACTTAATCATTCCACTAATCACTCCTCTTTCCTCCTGCACCCACCCTTCTATAGCCACAAACTTCTACCCCACATTCTAAAATTGCATTTTTAAATCTATCCCAACCCTCTTCAACCCCCCCACTAGTCAAACTTGCATTAGCCCACCTTTCTGCCAATAGTTGCTTTTACCTCACCCTAACTTCCTCTTCCCTTAGTTTTTACACTTTCACCTCTCTTACTCGTTGTTGCCATTTCCTTTTTGTCCCATCTACCTCTTACTCTAACTGTAGCCACAACTAAATAATTATCAGATATATTCGTTGCCCCTCTACAGACATGTACATCCTGAAGCCTACCCATCACCCTTTTATCCACCAATACATTATCTAACAAATTACTTTCATTATGTGCTATATCATACCTTGTATACTTATTTATCCTCTTTCGTAAAATATGTATTACTTATTACCAAACCTCTTCCTACACATAGCTCTATTAAAGGCTCCCCATTTTCATTTACCTGTCACTCCAAATTTACCTACTACTCCCTCCACAACATTTTTACCCACTTTAGTACTGAGTTCCCCAACCACAAGTACTCTCTCTCTCACTTGGCTCAAAACTCCCCATGCACTCACTCAACATTTCTCACAATCTCTCTCCCTCTTCTACACTTCTCTTCTCTAGGTGTATAAACACTTACTACAACCCACTCTTCACATCCAACCCTTATTTTACACCACAATCCTTGAATTTATATATTTATATTCCATCTATTCCTGTCATAACTTATCATTCAACATTATTGCTACTCCTCCTTTAGTTCTATTTGGAACCCCTGACCTAATCCCATTTATTTCTCCTCACTGAAATTCTCCTACCCCCTTCAGCTTTGTTTCACTTAAAGCCAGGACATCCAGCTTCTCATTCATAACATCCACAAACATCTCTTTCTTATCATTCACACAACATCATGCACATTCAAACATCCCACTTTGACAGTTTTCTTCTTCTTTTTAGTAAGCTATACAGGAAAAAGGGTTATTAGCCCACTGTTCCCGGCATTTTAGTCAACTTTTATAACATGCATGGTTTACGGAGGAAAGGTTCTCATTCCACTTTCCCACTACCATGTATTAATTACAATTACAGTAGATATTTTTACATGAACCATTAAACTCACGTGGGTCATTCAGTGTAGATAATAAAATTTCTAGCTTTTGTTCACAATTTTCTTTGGTGTCTTTTGCATGCATTCAAAGGACATACAAGATAATTCATTAGCTCGTTACTCACTGTATAAATACTATATTGTTTTTTATATAAAATAACCAGTGAAAGGTGTACGAAGTATATGCTACACGTACAATAAAACCTGGTGGAAAATGTGAGATGTACAAAAAGGTATTAGATAGTTAAAAAGTGGAGCTCAAAGCTCAACAACTACAAGGTTATGCTAAGTAGAAAATACACCTTTTCTAATCCCTAGTTCACTTATTATGACAAATTATTTAAAGCTAAAAATATGAATTATAATGAAATCTGGAAAAATTAAATATATCCACATTGGCTGATAGAAGGAGGCAATATAATAAAAGAATATGAACTAGATTTTTCTTTAGTACTATACCTTTAACAGGGATAAACCAGAGGTCTCAGAAGTCAAGAGAGATACAGGATTTTTTTTTCTCCCAAACCATAATTGAAGAATGGAATACAATACACTGATAGAGGATGTATCAAATGCTACAATGTAATCTATAAAAAATTATGATGAACAAATTACTGAAAAAGGAACACCTCAAGCACATATCTGCTCCTGCAGCTACAAATGGGCAATTTCAGGGATCTCACAAGGCAAACTTTTTTACTCTTTTCTACTGCATTTCTTACCTGGTTTGACCTGAATTCATCTCTAGCTGGTTGATCCAAGTCTTGTAAATCTCTACTGGATTGGTATTGATCTGTATGTTGCTATCACCCAAGACCTAAAAAGGACAAACACTTAAGCAAGCCATTCAGAATTCATACCAAGAGTGACAGGTTCTTCTATATTACGCAATTGGGTGGAGACATTTTCTTGTGATTCTAGGAAGAAAATGAAGTGGAATACGTGGGAAAACAGAAGGCCCGAGAGGTAAGGTGGTGTGGGAGGTCAAGTAGGTAGTTGTGCATTCTAAAGACTGGATATCTCTAGTCTAGACGGTGACTGATGGTAGGACTAAGGAAAGAATACAAATAAAGTACAAGGAAACGGAAGAAAAGATTAGGCAATCTACAACTTGGAAGAGGACAGTATCAAGATTATATCTCACAATGAGTGTCTCTTGAGGCTAGGAACACCGAAAGTAGCACAGAGAAAAGAATGCATCTTTTCTAACTATGGTTTACTACACTAATTCAGGAATTAAAATTTTCAGTAATATTAGAAGCTAGAATGCAGAACCTAGGTTAAAAAAAAAAATACCAATTTAAAAATAGTCTAACAAACAGTATAGACATTCCAGGCACTAAAACAACATTTCATCTTTTCACCAATCACGTCCCCAGGCCTCTCCTGTATTAGACTTGCCTTCCATCTTGAATTCGTAATCACACAAAAATATAAGATTTACCCTATTTCTTGGATAATAAATAACCAGGACTGATTAGTCATATTTAATGGAGTCCCAATAATTGAATTATACCTATTAAAAACCCACAAAACAGACCAAGAGGTTTAGGGGAACATTAACCCTTTCACTGTCAAAACCCATTCTCACAAACTTGTTCTCAGTATTGAAGAATTAAAAAAAAAAAATTCTCATGAAATGATAGAGAATCTTTTACCAATGGTAGTGACACCAAGAATACGAAATTTTATGGAAAACTTGCGGAATTACACTCGCGAAGTTAGCGGGCTCGGCAATATTTACGCATCAGCAATTTTGCCCACTTTGATCCCTCTTTTCGGCCAATTTTATTGTTCCAGGCGACCAAGTTCATAGCTATTTCGCTAGAACTCATTATGTTCTATTGATCGAGTTCAAGAAACCACCAATTTACCATTTCAACTACCCAATAAAGTTATCAGAAATTGGTAATATGGCCAATTTCCTACACAATTCAAGAAAGCCCAATTTCAAAATAAGGTCCAGAATTAATAATGTAAACCATTCCTTGCACTAAAATAACATTTTCTCTGTTCATTAGTCATGTCCCCAGACCCCTCTTACAATACGTTTGCTTTCCATTTTGAATTTTTATTCACAAAAAATAGAAGATTTACTGTTATGCAGACTACTGCATTACTGTAAAAATGGTATAGATAATATCAGCGCATTTATGAAAGCACATTCGACCCATCAGTTGATGTGTACTGGATGTGTGATGTGATTGGTTTACTCGAACATCGGCAAAAATTGAAAATTTCCACTACAGTGGACCCTCAACCAGCGATAGTAATCCGTTCCTGAGAGCTCATCGTTAATCAAAATAATCGTTAGTCAAGTTAATTTTCCCCATGAGAAATAATGGAAATCAAATTAATCCGTGCAAGTCACCCCAAAGTATTGAAAAAAAAAAATTTTTTTACCACATGAAATATTAATTTTAATACACACAAACTGAAGAAGACATGCACAGTTACATGACACTTACCTTTATTGAAGATCTGGTGGTGATTGATGGGATGGGAGGAGGGGAGAGCATTATCCTCTTACTGTTTAGAAGGGGAATCCCCTTCCATTAGCACTTGAGGCAGCAAGTCTTTTTCTGGGGTTACTTCCCTTGTTCTTTTAATGCCACTAGGACCAGCTTCAGAGTCACTGGACTTCTGTCGCACAACATATCTGTCCATAGAGGCCTGTACCTCTCGTTCCTTTATGACTTTCCTAAAGTGGTTCACAACATTGTCAGTGTAATAGTCACCAGCACGGCTTGCAATAGCTGTGTGAGGGTGATTTTCATCAAAAAAGGTTTGCACTTTAAGCCACTTGGCACACATTTCCTTAATCTTTGAAGTAGGCAACTTCTTCAATTTCTCTCTCCCCTCCTCCGAAGCAGTTTCCTCAGGTGTGGCCTCTTACTGTTGAAGATGATCTAGCAGCTCATCAGTGGTTTTGTTCTTCATTGTCCTCCTCCACATCCTCCCCACTAACCTCACCAATATGAGCACTAGTTCCAGGCATTTTTTCCTGTTCACCTGGGTGTTAGTCAACTGTTGTGGGTCGCATCCTGGGGGACAAGATTAAGGACCACAATGGAAATAAGTTAGACAGTCCTCGATGATGCACTGACTTTCTTGGGTTATCCTGGGTGGCTAACCCTCCGGGGTTAATCGTTTCTCGGTAATTGTTTCACGTTGAGCCACACCAACAACACTCTCTCCACATCTTCGAGTAATACAGCTGATGGTGGTGCAGCAATAACAACAGCTGACTGTGGTGCAGCAGCAGCTGCACCTTTGGCAAGAACAGCTTCCTTGATTGCCGTTTTCTTGCCCACAATAGCAGCAATGGTTGATTGGGGTTTTGTATACAACCTGGCCAGCTCAGAGACACGCACTCCACTTTCATATTTAGCAATGATCTCTTTCTTCATATACATAGTAATTCTCACCATTTTTGCTGTAGGGTTGGCACTAGAAGCTTTCTTGGGGCCCATGGTGACTTACTTTGCAGGTGCAATCACTACAAAGGCTGTGATAATATGAAATGTTCCAGTTGTTGTATGTTTGGAAGCGACCGCGGTGGCTGGCTGGCTTGTAAACACTGACACCCAAGGGACAAGTGAGGCGCGCTCAGGCCAAAGTGGACGCGTATGGTACGGAACGAATAGCGCTGGTCGGGTTTTTAAGCGCTAGTTGAGGCAAAATTTTTGCGTTTAAACGTATCGCTAGTCAGATTTATCGTTAATCGATGCCATCGCTGGTTAAGGGTCCACTGTACTTTGAGCTCAATTTCAATGCACTTTTACTCTAAACCATTCAAAATCATCTCTATTTCTGTAATATATCTTCCACTATCACATGAGACCTAGAAAATGATAATACAACTATAAATACCATACAAAAATACACTGCAAAGTCATTGTTTTAAACCAAAAACACGGATGGATATTTTTTCATTATGCACTGCATGCTGCAGGATTTTTAACCCTTTGAGGGTTTCAGCCATACTAGTATGGCTTACAACCCAGGGTTTTTGCCATACTAGTACGCATAAATTCTAGCTCCCTCAAATCTGGCGAGAGAAAGCTGGTAGACCTACTTATGAAAGAATGGGTCTATGTGGTCAGTGTGCGCAGTGTAAAAAAAATCCTGCAGCAGTGTGTAATGAGAAAAAAAAAAACTCACTGTTTTTGGAATAAAACAGCGACTTTGCACTGTATTTTTGTATGGTATTTATTGTTGTATTCTACTTTTCTTGGTCTCATTTTATAGAATGGAAGACATATTACAAAAATTGAGATGATTTTGACTGGTTTTACAATGAAAAGTACCATGAAATTGAGCTCAAAATAGCAGAAATGTTCGATTTTTATCAAAGTTCAAAAGTAAACAAATCATGTCAAGCATCCAATACACGTCAACTGGCGAGTCTAATATTCTTTCACAAGTACGCCGATATTACTTATACCATTTTGTACACTAATGCAGCAGTCTGCATAACAGTAAATCTTCTATTTTTTGTAAAAATAAAAATTCAAAGTGGAAAGCCAAAGAAATATAAGAGGGGCCTGGGGATGTGATTAACGAACAGAGAACTTGTTATTTTAGTGCCAGGAATGTCTTTCTTGTTTTTTCTGGACCCTATTCGGAAATTGGCATCTTTTGAAATTTGTGTGAAATTGGCAAAATTTCTAAATTCTGACCACTTTATTGGATAGTTGAAATTGGTAAATGGGTGGTTTCTTGTACTCATTCAATACAAAAAATGGAGTTCTAGCGAAATAGTTATGATTTTTGTCGACTAGTACATTGGAATTGGCCGAAAATAGGGCTCAAAGTGGGCAAAATCGCCGATGCGTAAACATTGTTGAGACCGCTAACTTCACGAGAGCATAATTCCGTAAGTTTTCCATCAAGTTTCATACTTTTGGTGTCATTATGATCGGGAAAAGATTCTCTATCTTTTCATAAGCAAAAGTAAATTCTTTATTTTTTTTTGGGAAATTTGGCCGACCTTGAGAACAAGTTTCGGAGAGGGCCTGTCGACTCTCAAAGGGTTAACCTCACACACTAATTACTCAGACCCATTCTCTCACATGTAGGCCTACCAGCTTTCTCCCGCAAGACTGGAAGCCGCTAGAATTTTGGCGAAGTATTACGGGACAGGCACTGGCTTGCAAGCCATAATACAGCCTCTCCTCAGCCACAGAGTTCCGTTCCTAAGGTCACGTCAGTAAATGAATTCGTCACTAAGCGAGGAGCATACACTAATAGTAGTAGGTTTGTGTGAATCATCTTTGATATTGTTTTAATGTCACCTCTGCACCATTTATAACATTTCTGGTAGATGGAAATAAATGGTATCAAATACTGACACAGTGGAAATATAAACACATAACATCAAGAGACCTCCAAACCCATATATCGAGAACACCATATCAAGCAGACTGACGATAACAAGGAAATGCCTGTACAACATCGCAATTCACACAACCATTTAATTAACTACAGAAACTCAAGACTTATCGCCACAGAAGACAACACTCAATACCGAAGAATCTGGAATCATCGCTTGTTCTCAATAACCAACAATTTCAACCAAACAACAGCTTCTATAACATTGCTGAACCACTCGCCAAGAAAAACTCATCGCTACCACATAAAGAACATAGAACACTGCAACAGTTCAACTCACAACTTGTCCAATACCTGCCAACCGTACCCAAGACTAACTCCCACCCGGTAGATCATAAGCTGCAGCAAATCTCCACCTGTACCTCAACATTCTGAACATGAACTAAAAAACTCGCGTACCTTCCACCCGGTAAAAAATATCGTGTTGACTGAAAAAGCCCTTTGTGTGGTGAAACGTGTCAATAAAGGATCACATTATACTGCATATTGTTTTTATATTTCCACTCCATTTCTGGTAGATTTATAAAAGTTTATATAGAGGAAGTTAGGGTGAGATATAAGCAACTAATTGGCATGAAAGATGGGCATGTGCAGTATGAGGGAGGTTAGTGAGTGAGTGAGTGTGAGTGAGAGAGTGAGTGATAGTGAGTGAGAGTGAGAGTGAGCGAGTGAGAGAGAGTAGAGAGTGAGTGAGAGTGAGAGGAGTGAGTGAGTAGTGAGAGGAGTTGAGAGAAGTGAGCTGGAGGAGAGTTGAGTGAGTGAGAGAGAGTAGAGAGTGAGTGAAGATGAGTGAGAGAGTTGAGTGAGAGAGAGAGTTAGAGAGAGAGTGAGAGAGTGAGTGAGAGAGTGAGTGAGAGAGTGAGTGAGAGAGTGAGTGAGAAGAGTGAGTGAGAGAGTGATGAAGAGTGAGTGATGAGTGAGTGAGAGTGAGTGAGAGAGTGAGAGAGAGTGAGTGAGAGAGTGAGTGAGTGAGAGTGAGTGAGAGATGAGTGAGAGAGTGAGAGATGAGTGAGAAGTGAGTGAAGAGTGAGTGAGAGATATTGAGTAAGAGTGAGTGAGTGAGAGTGAGTGAGGAGAGTGAGAGAGAGTGAGTGAGAGAGTGAGTGAGAGAGTGAGTGAGAGAGTGAGTGAGAGAGTGAGGTGAGAGAGTGATGAGAAGTGAGTGAGAGAGTGAGTGAGAGAGTGAGTGAGAGAGTAGTGGAGAGTGGAGAGTGATGAGAGTGAAGTGAGAGTGAGTGAGAGTGAGAGTGAGGGAGAAGAGTGAAGAATGAGTGAGAGAGTGAGAGAGTGAGTGAGAGAGAGGTGAGAGAAGTGAGAGGAGTGAAGAGAGAGTGAGAGTGAGAGAGAGTGGAGAGAGAGAGAGAAGAAGAGAGAGTGAGAGAGAGTGAGAGAGAGTGATAGAGAGTGAGAGAGAGTGAGAGATATAGAGAGAAGTGAGAGAGTGAGAGAGTGAGAGAGAGAGAGAGTGAGAGATGGAGAGAGCGTGAGAGAGAGTGAGAGAGAGAGAGAGAGAGAGAGAGAGAGAGAGAGAGAGAAGAGAGTGAGAGGTGAGAGAGAGTGAGAGAGAGTGAGAGAGAGAGAGTGAGAGTGAGAGAGAGAGAGTGAGTGAGTGTGGAGTGAGAGAGTGAGTGAGAGAGTGAGAGTGAAGAGAGAGAGAGAGAGAGTGAGAGAGAGTGTGATGTGAGTGAGAGAGAGTGGAGAGTGTGAGAGAGAGTGAGAGAGAGAGTGAGAGAGAGTGTTGTGTGAGTAGTGTGTTGTGAGTGTGAGTGTGTGTGTGTGGGTTGTGAGTGTGTAGGGTGGGTTTGGGGAGGTGATGTGGGTGTTTGTTGTGTGTGGATGTGTGTGTGTGTGTGTGAGGGTGTTGGTGTGTGTGTGTGATGAGAGGTTGTGTGAGTGATGAGAGAGTGATGTGAGAGTGTGTGAGTGAGGGTTTGTTGAGGAGGTGAGTGTGAGTGTGTGAGTGAGTGAGAGTGGGTGGGGTTGTGGGTGGGTGTGTGTTGGGTGTGTGTGTGGTTGTGGGTTGTGTGTGTGTGTGTTAGGGTGTGATGTTGTGGGTGTGTGGGTGGTTGGGGTGTTGGGGTGAGTGTGTGGTGGTGTGGTGGGGGTGGTGGTTGGGTGGTGTGGTTGTGGTGTGGGTGTTGTGTTGGTGTAGTGTGTGTGTGGTTGTGTTGGTGGTGTTGGTGGGTGTGTGTTGGGGTTTGGTGTTGTGTGGTGGTGTGGTTGGTGGGGTTGGGTTTGGTGGGTGTGGGTGGTGGTTGTGTGGTTTTGGGTTTTGGGGGGTTTGTTGGTTGGGGGGGGTGTGGTTGGGGGGGTGTGGGGGGTGTTGGGTGTTGGTGGTGGTGGGTGGGTGTGTGTGGTGGTTGGTGGTTGGGTGTGGTGGTGTTGTTAGGTGGGGGTGGTTGTTGGTGTTTTGTGTGTGTGTGTGTTGTGGGTGTTGTTGTGTTTTGGGTTGTGGGTTGTTTGTTTGTTTGGTGTGTGGTGGTGTGGGTTGGTGTTTGTGGTGTGGGGGGTGGGGGGGGGGGGGGGGGGGGGGGTGTTGGGTGTGGTGTTGTGTGTTGTGGTGTTGGTGGTGTGGGGGGTGTGTGGGGTGTGTGTGTGTTTGTTGGTGTTGGTGGGTTTTGTGGGGTGGGGTTGTGGGTGTGGGGTTGTGTGGGGGGGGGGAGGGGGGAAGGATAGGGGGAGAGGGGGGGGGGGGGGTGGGGTGAGGGGGGATAGGGGGGAGGTGGGGGGGGGGGGGGTGGGGGGGGGGGTGGGGGGGGGGGGGTGGGGGGGGGTTGGTTTGGGTGTGGTGGGGGGGGTGGTGGGTGGGGAGGGGGGGGGGGGTGGGTGGGGGGGGGGGGGGTGGTGGGTGTGGTGTGGGTGTTGGGGTTTGAGTGGGTGTGTTTGTGTGTGTGTGTGGGGGAGGTGTGGTTGTGTGTGATTGTGTGAGAGTAGTGTGTGTGTGTGTGTTGGTGTGTGTGTATGTTGTGTGGGTGTGTGAGTGTGTGTGAGTGAGTGTGTGAGTGAGAGTGTGAGTGTGTGTGTGATGAGTTGATGAGTGTGTGAGTGTGTGAGTGTGTGTGTGAGTGTGTGTGTGATGTGGTGTGTGTGTGTGTGTGTGTGTGTGTGTGTGTGTGTGTGTGTGTGTTTGTGTGTGTGTGTGTGTGTGTGGTGAGTGAGTGTGAGTGTTGTGTGTGTGTTTGTGTGTGTGTTGTGTTTGGTGTGTGTTGTGTGTGGTGTGTGTGTGGTGTTGTGTGAGGGGCGGGTATGCAAAGAGGGCTGGAATAGGTTTAAAATGCATGTATTAGAATGTGGGCAGAAGTCTGTGGCTATAAGAGGTGGGGTGCAGGATGAAAAGAGGAGTGATTGGTGAATGAGAAGTAAAAGGTTGATAAAAGAGAAAAAGGTAGCTTATGAGAGACTTACAAAGCAGAAGACCAGAGTATATGGAGATTAAAAGAAAGGTGAAGAAAGTGGTGGAAGTGTGCAAAAGGAGAGCAGATGAAAGAGTGGGAGAGGCACTGTCAAAAATTTTGATGAAAAGATGAAAAAATTGGGGTGAAGATAAACAATTAAAAGCCTAGGGAACGAATGGATCTGCCAGTAAAATACAGAGTAGGGGAGTTAGTTGGGTAGATGGCAGGAATGAAGATGAAGAAAGGAAGGTGATACTTTCATGCACTGGCCAGGGAGGTATAACATCTTTTAGCATTTAAGTGAAGAGCAGAGTGGATGGGGGGGAGAGTGTGAGGCATTACTAGAATGAAAGGGGTAAACAGCGAACTAGGGATCATGACATCAATGTTAAAATCAGGATGGGGGGATATAGCACTTGAAGTTGTTGTATTTTTGTTTAAACAAATGTATGAAAGAGGGGAGGGTACCTAAGGATTGGCAGAGAGCATGTATTTTTTTTTTTTTTTTTTTTTTTTCAACAAGTCGGCCGTCTCCCACCGAGGCAGGGTGACCCAAAAAAGACTGAAAATCCCCAAAAGAAGAAAATACTACATCACATTGCAACACATTCACCACACTCGCACATTATCACTGTTTTTTGCAGAGGTGCTCAGAAATACAACAGTCTAGAACATACACAAAGTGATACACAAACATAACCCTCCAAACTGCCAATATCACCATAACCCTCCTTTAAAGTGCAGGCATTGTACTCTTCCCATTTCCAGGACTCAAGTCCGACTATACACTAAATGAAAATAACTGGTTTCCCCTCCTCCCTGAATCCCTATCACTAAATATTACCGCTCTCACACTCAGATGCCAAACAGATCCGTCAGTCCCAAAGTACCATATCGTTCTCCAATTCACTCCAGTCAAACACGCTCTAACTATTGGCAATAAAACACGCTAGTGGAAGTCCAAGCCCCTTGCGCCCACAAAACCTCCTTACAACACCTAACTAAACAAAACCCCCTCTCTCAACCCAATCGAAGTGACGACCCCTGAACCCCTATACCACCTTCAACCCACCTCTCCTACCCCGCCTTCCTTCCCCTATAGATTTATATGCTTTCCATGTCATTCTACTTTGATCCATTCTCTCTAAATGACCAAACCACCTCAACAACCCCTCTTCTGCCCTCTGACTAATATCTTTTATTACTCCACAAACCCTCTTCCTAATTTTCCTACACTCTCATTTTACACACTGCACACTGCCATCCACACTATAATACTCACTCCGAATTTATCTGCCTGTATAGTTCCTTTATATAAAGAGAAGGGGAACCAAAGAGATTGTAAAAATTATAGGGCAAGAAGATTACCAAGTATACCAAGAAAAGCATACGGTAGGGTTATTATTGAAAGAATTAGAGGTAAGACAGGGTAGGATTGCAGATGAGCATGGAGGCTTTAGAGTGGTAGGCGGAGCAATTCAGCAGATTTTTCAAGTAAAGTATATGGAATAGTAATAAGTATTACTAAATATCTGTAATGATCTTTCACGAGGGCAGGAGGCTCAGATTAGGGGGTGTGTAGGAGATGGGATAAGTTACATCCCGGTACACATAGGTCATAAGACAGGGATGTGGTAATTTCAACATTGTTATTTAAAATAAAGAGGAATGGGACCTGGACCTCCCCATAACGATCACCTCCCCCGCTCCGAATTCGACGCAATTATGTGAAGGTATTTATGTAATGTGCGTTTGGCTGTTTTAAGGTTTTTTGGTTGTGTCTGATGATAATGGACTAAAAATCTACTTCACAATATTCCTTAAGGTATCAAATTCGTTCAGTACTGGCATCCTGAACATACTTCTGGATGAACAAGAATATCGTAACCGTGGGGTTTTAACGCTGTAATTATAAGATGGGGTTGAAAAGGAAATACATGCTAGGGTGCGGTAGGAGAGGGATTGGATTAAAATAATGGGGCAACAAAAAAAAATTTGGAGTTGACATAGTTTTTTGCAAAAGATACTGTGCTTAGGGAGTTTTTTAAGAAAAGTTGAAAAGGGTTTAGTGGCGAGTTTGGGGGGGTGTGTAAAGGTGAAAGCAAAGTGAATAAAAGATAAGAGTAAAGTGATTAGGAAATCAAATTTTTAAAGAAAAATTGGATACCCAACATGGAGAGGAGTAGGGGAGAAGAATGCTTTTAGAATTTGGGAATTAAAACAGGAGGGGTTTTATGAAGTTGGGAACCCCCAAAGAATTTATAAAAAAAATTGATTTTCATTTGGGGGGTTTTTAGAAAAAAATGTTCAAATGAGGCAAAAAAAGGGGAAATTATGAAGTTAGGGGGACCAACACTCTTGGGGTAAGCTGGGAAAATGTTTCCAATTGGTAAACATAAATTTCCCCAACAATTTTGGAAAAAGCAAAATTTAAAGGGGGGACAAGGAAAGGTTTTAAATAAAAGAATTTAGTCAGAAACTGAAGAGGGGTTGTTGAGGCGTTTGATCATTTAAAGGAAGGACAAAGTAGAAAGACATGGAGGCAATAAATCTTTAGGGGAAGGAAGGGAATTAGGGGGCATTCTCAAAAATTAGGGAGGGGGTAAAGGAGGTTTAAAGGGCAAGGGGGGTTCGACCCAGCAAGCATGCTGAGCGTGTTAGGGTAGGGGAATAACATGGTTTTTTTGGGGCCTGTTGGGGGTGAGCAGGGGAAATTTATGAAGGGATTCAGGAAACCGGTTTTTTTAAAATAGCCGACTTGATACTGGGAATTTGGGGAAGTACAATGCTTTCATTCTAAAAGGGGGGTTTGGGTATTGGGGTTTTTGGGGGGATATTTATTATCTTTTTAGTATATGCTTCTAAACTGTTGTATCTGGGTGCCCTCAAAAAACATGATAGTATATAGGTAAAGTTTGAATGATGATGAAATATTTCTTTTTGGCGATTTTCTTTCTTTTTGGGTTTACCCGCCTCGGTGGGATGACCGACTTGCCCAAGAGAGAAAAAAAAAAGTACTGTAACTGAAAAGAGAAGAGGAAAACACTCTAAAAAACCCCTATTTAGGTATGCAAAGCTGGCAGAGGCCTGCATAATTCGAGTCACATAAATGAGATGCGTCGCTTAATAAAGGCTGATTACAGGACTGACATGAAAGGGTTGGCTGTCTCAGGAAACTGCAAAAAATCCAACCTTTCGCAACTTTGAGCTCACTTTTAACCTACTTCCTCCTGAAACCAACAAAACTCATCCTGTTTTTTAGTATATGTTTTCCATTTTAACAAAGAAAAACCCAAAAAACAGCCAAAAAACCAAAAAAATAAGAAAAAAACCAGAAATTTTTCTAGTAAAGCAAAATAAGGGCAGGGTTTTGTTTTTTTTCCCTCTGCAACGCATGGGCAGGAGTTTTAAAAATGTGCAAAACCACTGCACAACAAATTCCTCCCATCTAACCAAAATTTACCGCTTGCAGTTGATGTGGGGGAGCCGAGCTCATATATAACCTTGATGAGTTTAGTCCGTACTACCCAGAAGCCGCATCCATGGGCCAGGCTTGCAAATGCTACGGTGAGGGATCCTGGCATCACAAAGTAGTTTAACGTGTACAGGCCACTCAAGAGGGTTATGACTGAGTGCACAGAACCATTCCTGCTTCTGTTGGGAAAATAACAGTTCAATGGTAAAAAAAAAAAACACAGAATCAAGCATTTTTGTGTATAGCAAAAATTAATTCTGTATGCTTTATAGGGCTGCAGTGTGTCACACACTACTCGAATAAATATTACCCAAATGAAGACAAGTATTGAACGGTCCTACATTATTCCTAAGGCTTTTTACATAACTCAATTTTTAAAAGCAACAACTACAAAAAGATTTCCATTTAACAAACCTTTATAAAAAGTTAAGAAATGTTTCACAGTTAAAATAAGTCCTTATATCAAATCTTCATGGCTTACTGCTATGATAAATTAACTTTGAAAAAAATTCAACCTTTAAGAACCCCTACAAACATTCTAAATTTTAAATTTTATCTAAAACTTCTTCACTCTTTATTGCTCATTCTATACACTTTAAAAATCTGTAAATGTGTACATTTGATGTTACTAAAAACTAACCTTGTGAATGAGTGGTCCCAGCATAACCCCTGAGTGAGGCCTTGTCCTGCCCCGCCTTTCAATTTGATGACACTATCATCTCACTACCAGAGGGTTGCCATAGGATACTTAACGTTCGCTCAAACCAGAAACCTTACATCTGCAACAAAATACTACTGTACTGTGCTTACGAAAAAAATACTCTTCACTAGGAAATGAGGTCTTTGCTTTGTGAACACATATATACAGGTACGATTAATGAATGCAAATCTGTTGGTCAAACACAGAGGAAAGACCAAAAGCTCAAGTTCAGTACTCCATTCTTGACAAATGCAAATAATTACAAACAATACATTAATGTTATAATCTTTGTAGTAAGCATAAAAAGAAGTGATACTAAATGCAAAGACATGGGCTTTATGGCTTACTTAAGCTTTGGCAGAGGCTCATTACAGCACACAATAATAATAATAATACAGTAATCCCAATGATTTTACTCACCTTATCTCTTCTTCCAGGGCAGTTTTGAATAATTTCAAAAGTAAATAATTATCACGATCATTAGCACCATAATTGTAGAGTGTAAAGATGACATTCTCTATAAACTTTGTAGTTTTGCCTGGAGGAAGGGCAAATATGAGAGTAGCAAGATAATGGGGCTCAGTTTGCAGGAGGTAAAACAGATGCTGGTAACACAGGAGCTTCTCCCTTGATTCCTTCTTCAGTGCCTGCCAATATAAAGCATATATCATTAAGCTGTAAACTATATATTTTTTTTTTTTTTTTTTTTTTTTTTAACAAGTCGGCTGTCTCCCACCGAAGTAGGGTGACCCAAAAGGAAAATACTTTCATCATCATTCAACACTTTCACCTCAGAATACAATAGTTTAGAAGCATATATGTATAAAGATACACAACATATCCCTCCAAACTGCCAATATCCCAAACCCCTCCTTTGAAGTGCAGGCATTGTATGTACTTCCTTCCCATTTCCAGGACTCAAGTCCAGCTATATAAAAATAACCGGTTTCCCGGAATCCCTTCACTAAATATTACCCTGCTCACACTAACAGCTCGTCAGGTCCCAAATACCATTTGTCTCCATTCACTCCTATCTAACACGCTAATGCACACTTGCTGGAAGTCCAAGCCCCTCACCCACAAAACCTCCTTTACCCCCTCCCTCCAACCTTTTCAAGGACGACTCCTACCCCGCCTTCCTTCCCCTACAGATTTATACGCAGTAACCTACATCCCTTAGGACATGGTACATTTGGAGTGACAAGGTCCAAGAACCAAAACTTTTCCAATAAACATGTCCTAAGTGATGACCCACTTGAGAGTAACTCAGATAAGATCACTGAGTGATAAGGAAATGTGTGAAATTTTCAATATTTACTTCCTCTCAGTTCTTACTCAGGAAGATGCTAGCAAAATTCCAGAAATAATAAATTATGTAGAACAGGACGATAATAAACCATGCACGATTGGGGTAACACTCTGCCTCGGTGGGAGACGGCCGACTTGTTGCCGGGGGGGGGGGGGGGGGTTTAACTAGTGACATGGTTCTCAGACAGAGAAATTAAAACCTAACAAATCCCCAGCCCCTGATGAATTGTTTACAAGGGTTTTAAAGGAAAGTAAAGAGGAACCTAGCAAACCTTTGGCTAATCTATTCAACATATCACTACAAATTGGCATAGTGACAAGTAGAAAATGGCAAATGTAATATCAATTTACAAGGCAGGTAACAGGACCTTAGCTTCAAACTATAGACCAATAAGCCTTACCTCCACAGTGGGAAAATTTATGGAATCAATAATTGCCGAGGCAATTCGTAGCCATCTTGAAAGGCATAAATTGATTAACGAATCTCAACACGATTTTACAAAGGGGCATTCCTGTCTTACAAATTTACTAACTTTTTTCACTAAGGTATTTCAGGAGGTAGATCATGGTAATGAATATGATATTGTGCATATGGACTTCAGCAAGGCTTTCGATAGCTCCACATCAGAGGCTATCAAGGAAACAATGCACACAGAATAGGAGAAATTTTTTCCTGGTTAGAGGCATGGTTGACAAATAGGCAGCAATGTTTACATAAATGGGGAGAAATCAGAATGGGGGCCATGTCACAGCCAGTATTCCACAGGGGTCAGTGTTAGACCCCTTGTTAAAATTTACATGAACGACATAGATGCGGGAATAAATAGTGACATAAGAAAATTTGCTGACGACACCAAAATAGGCCGTCCAATTCATTCTAATGAGGACATTAGAGCACTCCAAGATGATTTGAATACACTGATGCAATGGTCAGAGAAGTGGCAGATGCAGTCTAATGTAGACAAATGCAAAGTTCTAAATGTTGGAAAGGATAATAACTATGCCACATATAAACTAAACAATGTAGATCTTAATATTACTGACTGCGAAACGGATTTAAGAGTTCTGGTTAGCAGTAACCTGAAACACAGACAACAGTGCATAAGCGTTTGCAATAAAGGTAACAGAATCCTTGGCTTCATATCAAGAAGCATAAATAATAGAAATCCTCAGGTTGTTCTTCAACTCTATACATCCTTGATTAGGCCTCACTCAGATTATGCTGCACAGTTCTGGTCACCATATTACAGAATGGATATACAAGTCTCCCTCAACATTCACGTTTTCAACTTTCACGGGCTTCACACATTCGCGAATTCCCAACCGCCAAATTCCCAGCTGCCAAATCATATTTAAGTTTCCCGCCACCTGCGAGTCCCTACTACCCTCCCTCCGACCCCCGCAACTGGCAGCCAGCCCTCCCACCACTCAGTGTGGTGAGTGTTTTGTTTGTTCATTATTTGCTATTAAACTACAGAATAAATAATGTAAACCCAATCATGACTGCATATTGGAATGGCTATTCGGACAGGTATTAGATGGGGACATCATGTGTTTACTCTTGAACACAGCAAAGAATTAAACATTTCTGCTACCGCTAATAACAATAATAACAATAATAACAATAACAATAACAATAATAACAACAATAACAACAATAACAACAATAACAACAATAACAACAATAACAACAATAACAACAATAACAATAACAACAATAACAACAATAACAACAACAATAACAATAACAATAATAATAACAATAATAATAATAATAATAATAATTGAAGAAGGAAATTGTACAAAAATACGAGGGAGTGGTTGACACATCGTCAGTGCGACTGTTTATGCTGGAGTGAACATTAGTCTCCCTGCTCTTCCAAACATTTCACAATAATTCATTGTGTTTGGTACTTGTAGATCGAGTGTGACTGGAGTGGTAGAGGCAATGGTATTTAATAACATACATGTTAATAATAATACATGTTATTAATAATATGTACTATTATTATTTATAACACATGTGTTATTAAATACATACATGTTAATAATAATACATGTTATTAATATGGAAGAAGTGAATGTTTTCAGATACTTGGGAGTTGACGTGTCGGCGGATGGATTTATGAAGGATGAGGTTAATCACAGAATTGATGAGGGAAAAAAGGCGAGTGGTGCGTTGAGGTATACGTGGAGTCAAAAAACGTTATCTATGGAGGCAAAGAAGGGAATGTATGAAAGTATAGTAGTACCAACACTCTTATATGGGTGTGAAGCTTGGGGGGAAAATGCAGCAGCGAGGAGACGGTTGGAGGCAGTGGAGATGTCCTGTTTTAAGGGCAATGTGTGGTGAAAATATTATGCAGAAAATTCGAGTGTGGAATTAGGAAAAGGTGTGGAGTTAATAAAAAATATTAGAGGGCAGAAGAGGGGTTGTTGAGGTGGGTTTTGGGCATTTAGAGAGAATGGATCAAAGTAGAATGACATGGAAAGCATATAAATTCTATAGGGGAAGGAAGGCGGGGTAGGGTCGTCCTCGAAAAAGGTTGGAGAGAGGGGGTAAAGGAGGTTTTGTGGGCAAGGGGCTTGGACTTCCAGCAAGCGTGCGTGAGCATGTTAGATAGGAGTGAATGGAGATGAATGGTACTTGGGGCCTGACGATCTGTTGGAGTGTGAGCAGGGTAAAATTTAGTGAAGGGATTCAGGGAAAACCGGTTATTTTCATATAGTTTGGACTTGAATCCTGGAAATGGGAAGTACAATGCCTGCACTTTAAAGGTGGGGTTTTGGGATATTGGCAGTTTGGAGGGATATGTTGTGTATCTTTATATGTGTATGCTTCTAAACTGTTGTATTCTGAGCACCTCCCGCAAAAACAGTGATAATGTGGGGAGTGTGGTGAAAGTGTTTAATGATGAAAGTTTTTTCTTTTTGGGGATTTTCTTTCTTTTTTGGGTCACCCTGCCTCGGTGGGAGACAGCTCGGTGGGAGACTGCCTCAACCGCTGAATTATTGTGAAATGTTTGGAAGAGCAGGGAGACAAAAAGTTCAACCAGCAAAACAACACATCGATTGTCAACCACTTCCCAATTTTTGTACAAATTTTCCCTTCTTCAAAATTTTTTTAT